CCCAGTGGTATTTGTTGGTCAGTGAAGAAGAGATTTTCTTGTTCTGCGTCGAACCATCATGCTTATTTCGGAAATCATTGACGTTTTCTATAGTTTGTGTAGCGCGGTGACTTGGTAAATCATTATTGATGGACGACAGTCATCTCTAGCATGTGAAGTTCAAACAAATAGTCTTTTCGTTCAGATACCATATGCAAAGTCAGCACCATTCAAGCCGCACTTACGCAATTTGATTCGCGCTGCGTTAATATTCTCTCTAGAATGCTAATAAATCTGTTCCGTTGTACAAAGTTCTCAGTCACAATATTCGATGCTGCATTTTACAGAAACACTGCTGTGTTCTTAAAGCAGACCTTTGTTCCTAAGCGAATAAACATTTTTTAAATCAGGTATTGAAATGGGCGTAAGCAAACTGATATTTTTCGCCTCTCAACGTCCTGTTGTTCCCCACTGATGCAATTAGGGAACAGAAATGTTTTCTTTATGATTAAAAAAGACTTAACAGGTCAGATGCGGATACATCGATCTTCCTCTTACTAAGTTATGCGTCCGTTAGTTATAGTTCGAACAGGTTATTTGCTAAATTAATAGTTAACATTATATATCTAGTCTTCCTACTTAGTTAAACTGGACTGATCTTTCACTATTCATTAATCACTGTTTTAATTTTATCCATATGCGCGTATATCTTTATTTTTTAGGTTATGGAAATCGAAAACCCATGGCAGTTCGAATCACCTCCTCAATATTATGTGCAGAGACAAGCGAAAAATTCGTCCATCAAGGAGAATGTCCAAACTGTAGCTCAAGAAGAATTCCGATCGAATGCTCCTGAAGGATTTGATTCAGCTTAAAGTGACCGGCAGCGATAGACGCAAGTGATGATATATGAGCCAGCTTGTGGGTTTCCAGAGTCGCGCTCTGCATATCAGTTACCTTGTATCAGACTTCAGAAACGGACTTTCTAAAGTAACATAACATATTTTGGTCTTCATGAAAGTTTGATTGCCCAAAACATGTTCTTGTTTCTACCTTATTGAATTGGCCTTATTTTTATATCGTTTGTTTTATTCTGAACTGTAAACATATGTACCATAAGCTTCTATCTTTACATTGTTATAGCAGCAATATTATAACCAATTATTCAGTTCAATTTCATTACTCTTCTTTCAAGTCGCAGAGGCAAACGTTTTTCCAGTGTTTCCAATATATGTCAGCTCCGTAAAATTTAGCCACTGTCCTTCATGGTGTTGCTATCACCGAACATAATACCGACTCAGTCGTCGCTCAGATTATTAAGGGCTGAGCAAGCTGTTGGGGGACTAATTCAGGCTCTGAAAAATCGGTGATCAGAACCTGTTGCCCGTCTTCTGACTGCCGGCAGCGATTCAGCACGATGATGACTGCAAAATATTGACACGAAGAAGACCAATATTCTCTCAGCAGCGGCTCCACTAAAAGTGGAGGATAAAGATAGCACCGTGTCATTATAGCACTAGAAAAAATTATTTGTATTCGAAAATATATAAGGAAAAATATGCCTAATCCATTAAGTCATTAGCAATTTAAGCAAGACAATGACTCCGCCTTGCCTGTCCCAAGCACGC